ATGCGAGCGAAGTTTTTTCTCTGCGACCAAAAAGGTCTCAATATATGCATGCGTACGGTCGATTGCATTGCGAGTGGGACCAAAAACGTTTGCAGTTAAAATAGGTCTTTAAATGGGAGAAAAATTAACATTCTTTTAAAAAAAATTTCAATGATTTACCCAAGCAACGTATTAAAGTGTAGATTTCATTTGAATCTACGTGTAAGGAGAAATTTCTTCTTAAGCACTTTGTTGTGATGAACCCAACTTCCTTTTTAGGCCGTGTCAGGACGAGACTCGCCTCACAATAACTTTTTCTTCTATGATGGGGTAGATAGTACGGGACTTGTTGATAACATCGGAACTGACTGGTAGGTTCCATTGTTTTATATAATGACACATTGGTATGGGCTTTATTTTTCTAACGAGCTACTACGGCGGATTTCTGTCTTTATTCGTTCTGTATCTATGTAAATTGTCTATGTTGGGAAATTAATACTTAGTTGTCTGTATCAGGAATTGATTTCATCTTACCGTTTATTAAGCATTCAAGTATGAGTCCCTAACTTCTAGAAAATAATATTTTTAACTCTGGCCTGACTATAGAACACAGCACTCATGATACTACTTCGACTGAGCTATATAGTAGTTTTAAGATGTCTTTGTGTTAAAAGCACCAAGTATAAGCAACTTTTGCCGCTTGAATCTCTACTCATGGCTCAAATTTACCCATGGCAAAAAAGTCTTTTCCTGAACAAGAAGATCTTGCCGAAAAGTTACATTGTCTGATTTAAATGTAAAGCTATTTTTAAAGAAATGGGTCGAAGTTCTCGGGAGACCTATTTTGTTGATCAGTTGTGAAGAACATGTTGCGAGTAGGACGGTGGATTTTTACATTGTAGCTCGCCAAACCGAGAATGCCAAAGAGTGCACTTTGAATCATGGTTTCTATACAGTAAATAGGAGCTTTATTGTTGTAAGCAATCCTGGTTTGATATTGTTAATATTGCTAAATGAGAGTAGAGAGTTGAGATCAATGATTGGGTAATGTAAGAGAAACAGTTTTGAATTTGTTAAGTGTTTGTTGTGCTGTCTAACTGGGCAGGAAATTATCGATAGTTCTTTATGTCAGTAATCCCTTTGGTTTGTTATTCTCCTGTGTATCATTACGTTCTTTCGAATCACTTCAATGTATCTGATGTTCTTCCGGGTGCAGTTCTGTATTGCCTCGACATTAAAGAGTGAGCAACATTTCGACTCAAATCGTGTAGGCCTTTTCACTTTATTCAAATACATGAAGTTGGGCTTAACTAATTCTCATACCCTCTACGTGTAACTTTTTAATGTTGTTATTTTGAACTACCTTTCAGAGTTGAAAAAAATGGAGGATTTCGCCCGACGCCCCAATTTAGATCTTTTTATCTTTGCTACCTTGAAACGTTGATAAACAGACACTGCACAGTAAAGTAGCGGACACTTTCTAGCAACGGACAAATAACTGTGTCCCAAAATCTCTTTACTTTTGCCAATCAACCCCCAAATGATGCAAACCTCCAAATGATGCTAACCTCCAAATGACGCAAACCTCCAGATGATGCAAACCTCCACACAACGAATCCTTTGGTCTCGCAGGTCTTAATAATGTAGAGATTTAGCTGTATTTGAATATAGCATTTAATGGTGAAAAGATATGATTGCATCATCGAGCTTGTCATGTTCAAGCATTCGCCTCAACACGTGCGCCTAGGGTAAATCCAGACACGTTGTTGCACTATTATACAGTTTTTATGGCTCATTGAGTGTAGCAAACTTCTAGACATGATGTGTTTGGTTGTCATAACACCCCTTCATTTCTAACTGATGACTGCTATTACACAAATAACTGTTTGTTATAAATTGGAACATAGCTATTAGTATTCTGTCAGTATTTTGAACTTAGATGAAAAATTATTGGGCAAAAATCCTCTATGGGGCTGTTGGTAGTTTCTTGGTTGCAGAAAGTCTCTATTGGCTAAAGTAACTTAGATAGACGTAAGTACTTTCTGGTATTGAACAATGCAAAGATTCATCTCTACTGTTTGTTAGAAGCAACGAACGCTGCTGCATACCAGTCATGTGACTTAGTGTTCTGCTCTGAAATTATTTTTGCATTTTCAGACACGAAATTTAGTCATTTTCTACCCGGATTGAAACAGTCTTTCTTCTTAGTCTTTCTTCATTGAAAAAATCGAACTATTACCTATGGGAATTGTGAATGGTTTTCTCTGCTGAGCAAGCTGTTTCTCCCCTTTTTATATGTATTTTGTTTTGCTTCATAGCAAATATTCTGCTTTAAGAAGATCACAATTTTTTGGGGGGTTACTGTACTTTTATTACCGTTATTAAAGGTTATAAGACATGCTGTTTTAAATTATATATCTTTCAATGGGTGCCCCTTTTCTATCAGACATTTCATCCTCTTCAAGACTGTTTTTATGATTTTCCTCTGCAACGGTAAAGGGTACGGGTTAGAAGCGCCCTTAGCAGCTAATTTATTCTACTCGTGTAATCGTGTGAATATGGTCTGCCTCATCTCTTCTTTCCTCTCTCATTCTCCTTCGCATTTCATTTCCCCCGTTCTTCATCCTTTGACTCCTTGAGTCTCTGGCATCTTTGGTAAGAAAATCCCATCGAAGCGAAATACGACAATTTGTTTCGACGTCTTCGGGCATCTATTCCGGCGAGCTTTCAAGTGTAAGTCATTCATCACTTTTGCTTCACCTGCCTGCTGGTATATATCCAGATGGGCATTACTTATGCACGATATTGTTTGCATTTTTATGGAGTCACTGCCATTGCAAGTTTGTTAAAACAAGTCAATTAACGAAGCGTATTTTTCAAATGCTTCCTGTTTTTCTAAAGCGCATCAACAAGATACAGTTATTTCTCATTTTCACGCGTATTTTTCTGGATTTGAGATTTGATTGTTTCTTATACTCTATGCATGCTTTTTGTATGATTTGTTATCCGTATAATCATATCCTATTTTATGTTTGTTTATTTTCTTCAAATTTTAATCACCACTTCTAAGGTAGAGATATCTAAAAATTTCTTCTATTTTAAAATCATATAACAGATCCAGAGAAACATTGGTGCCACCTTAAGTTTTATTGTAAATTGCCACCTTCACTTTATTTATTTCATCAGAAATAAAAAAATAAGAAAAACTCAGACCCAATATGGTTTAACAAAGAACATTGTCTTATAAGTGAGTCATAATATTCGCAGTGAAAATATTTTTCTTTAAAAGAAGCCTCTACTGTTTATCAGAATCTTTTTATTGTATAAAATCATCTTTGTTGGGGAGACAAGCGAGCGAAAATCTTCAAATGAGTGATGCAACCCTCCGTCCTGGAGCCAGAGAGCATGCGTAAGAGTAACTTCATTCCGTGCGCATGCTCTTTGACTCAAGGACGGAGGGTTGCCTTACTCATTAAAAAACTTTCTCTTGCTTGTCTCCCCAACAATTTCGCTGAGGCTCTGGTACCCTAGGGTAGGTGGGTGCCAAATCGATTTTTGTGATGGATGGTAGCAAATGAATTTATGCAGCTAGCCAACTGTGGCTTTTACGAACACCCTCGCAAAAGATGAGAATCGAGCAATTGCAAGATGAAATGCAGACCTCCCCAAAACAAAGATCTCCACACTGAAACTAATTACTTTTACCTTAAACTAATGTTTTGTCTATCGCGTCTCTTCTCGTCTATCCACCTTATTTCGTCTAAATGTCGCTAAATATAGACCGAATTAGCTTCACTCCTGTCACTCCTTGTGCTCTGGTTTCTCAGAAATGACGTCCGACAATTACTTTTATTTACAAAGTGTCACTAACTGGTCTATTACGGTCAAAAATGGCACAACCAGCGACTGAATTCTCGACTTTCGACAAAAAGCTCTGTCAGTTCAACGTGACATCAGATTTCACAATAAGAACATGAGATAGTGTATCTTTTATTTTTCACCTGCCTCTTTTAGATTCATTCTTGTAGTGAGAGTCGTAGGCCGTAGTTGGGGCAGATCCCTGTCGTTTTCCTCCACGAAGAAGTGTTTCTGACGGTGATAAGTGGCGTTGATCATAATAAAAATCAAAATTAGATTTAAATGTGGATTGAAATACCCCCAATTAAAGGTCACCAACAACAAAATTTCGTTTTGAAGACGTTCGGAGCCTTTCTGGTAAACCCTTATTGAAGTGCTTTATTAAGTAAGAGTACACGAAATGGAAAGCAATTCGAAAAAAGTACAGGTAGCAGAAACGAGAAATTGACTAGAAAAAATACAGGAAGAAAAGGCGGTGGTTTTGTCAATTGTTGTTATCTTGAAAAAGGTTAAGAATTCGAGGTAGGCTACCTTATGATTGCCTTCAGACCTAACTCGGTTTCATCCTAATCAAACACCATTAGCGTGAACAACAAGAGACGCTAGAGTACTGGGACCATAGAGATATGATTGGGACGTACCTTGGCGACCGCCCCTTGCCCCTAGCAAAAGGCCTTGATTTACCCCCTTTTCTCCTCTTGCCATAACATGTTGCCAGCTTCTCTAAACCCAAAATCGTGATTTAAAGCCTTCGAAGAACTATTTATGCCTTCGTATTAAAAAAATCAAAGTTTTTAAAATTCTTACGTATGACATGTACTGCATTGCATTTTTTGCTAAAACTTATTTTTCAGACATTTTCCTCTCGCTCTATATCATTGACTCAAATAGAGCTGTTTGTTTCTGTACTGGGTCAATTACACAACTATCCAATGATATACAATTTGTGTAATTTTCTTATATTTCGGAAGCCATTTCCCAAAGGAAATCCTCTTTAAACCGAACAGTAAGAATTAAAGCATTAAAAAGGGAACTGACTGCGGTTGGTACGACAGGATTGGTTTGAACTTGAAATCTGCACTGTCGTGGAAACTTAGTGGTTGTCGGCTGCCTGTAGCTTGCTTTTCTTGGTGTCTGCCCCACAGTCTTAGCATTCCTGTCACAATCGGCGCAACATCCTCAGATAATTCAGTGGAAAGACGGAAGTCTTATACAAGGCATTTGCCCCAAAGCTATTTACTGACAACAGTTATTATTCTTCATATTGAAATCAAAACTTTGCCAAAACCCGCAGCTATGGAAAATTTATTCGAAGTAGCTAGGTAGCCAAGAATCGTTCGAGCTTATTTGGCCAGTCACTTTTTC